GTGATGAAAGTAGGCATTAATCCCTGGGATTCGATTCAAGCATCCTAGGCATTGGATAACCCTGTCATGGCAAAAGACCAAAAGACTGGGTCCTCTTCTGCAACAGAGTTCGGCACTGTCTTGATTTCAGAGGGGAGTCTAACTGGCTCAGTGCACGAAGCCCTGACACACATGCAAGGTTTCTGAGATCTGGTGAGATCGGGCAAGAGGACAGAAACACTACTAGCCTGTAACGACTGGACAGAATTGAGAATTAGTGACTGAACAGAAGCCGGGCAGTGTCAGTGGGAGGTACTCACAGTGGTCTTCTCCAGGCAGTGCAGCAGGTGGTGATGCTGCTGTTCAAAGGAAGATGTGTTCTTCACACACAGGGCCTGGGTACCTCTGTTCCTGTTCTGCTGAGAAACAGAGAAGCACACGGAGCAAGAGGGCGGGGTGGGTGGGTGGAAAAGAGAGGACAGAGGGTGGGGTACGGGGGGAGGAGGGATAAGAGGGCGGTGCAAGACAGGTGGGAGGGGCAATGGGAGGGGTCAGGTGGGTATGGTCAGGGGGGGGAGGGTCATGATAGTGGGAGGAGTCAGGGAGAGAGTTGGTGGGAGGGGCAGGGAGGAAAGGAAGGAGGGGATGGGGGCCCAGAATGAGACAGGGTGAGGATGGGAGAGCAGGAAGAAGAAAAAAGAAGAGAGGAGAAACGGAAAGAGAGAGGAGTAAGGGAGACAGATGCAGAGAGGGAGAAGATGGAAAGACAAGCAAGAGAAAAAGAGATTTTGAATGTCAATTTTGTAGAAAACCATTAAGAACATAAGAAAATTCACAAACGAGAGGAGGCCAGTAGGCTCATCTAGTAGATCCAAGAACTCATCAAGCCATTTTTCGAAAGAAGAGCAGGCTCTGCTCTGGCTGAGCAGGTTGTTTCAGACTCCCACAAACCCTTGGGTCAAGAAGAAGCTTCTCCTGGTCTCAGTTTTAAATGCACTTGAACATAGTTTGCATTTCTGCGTTTCAGAAATTCACTGGGTTGAATAAAATCTCTCTGCGCATTTGGGCAAAGACGTCCTTCATGAGCTAGTGAGGTGATTTAGAGGACAGGGCACTCTCTGGTATCAGCAATCCACTGGTCACCTGATACAGGGCTGCTACCTGCCAAGAATTCTGTGACGGCTTTGTTTCTGCTCATCATCTTCAGCAGCAATGGGCTCTGCCATTTCCTGCTATATTAGGCTTAGACAGTTTCACACCATCCTAGTTCAGCGTGGCTGCATTGTTTATACAGTAATGGGATTAGCTTGGTTTGCTCAGGGCTTCTGTCAAAGTGCTGACCAACATATCAGTGTTCTTTTGGCATCATATTACCTTTCCAAAATGTTCACTGGTGCTCCCTTCTATGTCAGAGTTAACATACGTTGAATTACCCATCTGTATGCTCAAGTGTGAGCAATCGCACATCACAGTAGAATCAAAAGAAACGACTTTTGCTCCAGCAGGTCAACCCACAGAGCAGAAAAGACACTGAGCAGCAGGGAGATAGGAAAGGTGACAGACAAGAGGCCCTTCAGCCTGTCCAGCCCATTTGGTAATTAGCAGTTAGTTGATTTGAGGATCATATTCATCCATTTCCTGAAAAAAAAGCAAGAAACGGATACAGGGTACTGGCTTCAACGGTGTGGTTGAGTAGCGTGTTCCACACTCCCACTGCCCTTTGTGTAAAGGAGACCCTCCTATTCCTGATTTTAAGTGTGGTTCTCCACTTTTCTTGGTTTAAAATGCACTAGGTTCCTCTTGTGTCCTCTGGTTGGCATTTCACTTTTGATATTATCGATGTCCTTGAGGATTTTGACTACTTGGATCAGAGCCCCTTGTAGTCCTCTCTGTACAGGAGACATGTGGAGACTTGAGGCTCTGGGGACAGCAGGTCGTGTCTCTGACACTGCTCTCCGAGAGCAGGGGAATCAGAGGAGAACGGAGGTGAAAAGGAGAGAGAGAGAGAGAGAGAGAAACCCAGCCTGAAAGAGCTGAAAGAAGCCATTCTGGTTTATAAATAGCACTGCAGCACTGTTAGTAATGGGTTTATAGATCCGAGCGAAAATATCCGCTCGCGAGGGAATTGTAAATATTGGATTATCGCGGCTTTCGGCAGAGAGGAGCGGAATAAAGATCACTCAGTCAGAACGGGGCAGCGTGCATTAGAGGGGACAACAAACTGCAAGGAGCAGGACACTGGGCAGCCTACCGGCTGGACAACACTGTATTCCTCTCTCTTTGTTCTCTCTTCCTTCTTTCTCCCCCTCTGTTTCTCTCTCTCCTCTTTCTCTCTTCCTCTCCCACCCCCTCTCTCTCTCTCCCCGCTCTCTGCTGTGAGGAAGATTAGCCTTCCTGGGGTAGGTGTGCATGCATGTGTCAGGGACTCATCTCTGCAGCAGGTGTGCGGTGTGTGACAGAGGAGGAACAATAGAATAGAGAACCAGCAGAAGCTGGAAAGCATTACAGCCTTAGGCTCAGGGCATTCAGAAATATCCAAGAGGGCAGATTAATTCAGACAGGTACCATGTTTTTTTTTTTTTGTCTAGTCTGTTGCACTGACTGCTCTTATCAAGAGCTTTTTTTCCCCAGGCTTAGCTGTATTTATGGTGGAAATGAAGGAGAGATATAAGAGACCAAACATGTTGGCGTGGTGGTACAAAACGTGGAGGCCCTGAGCTTTGCTGGGCACTTCTCCGTCGTGAGTTCAACTCTGGTCTTCACTCTTAAAGCCAAAGATGGCAGACCTCCAACTACCAGGCGGTCCAGTCCTGGTTGTGCCCTCACCTCTCTGTGTGACACCGGTTGCTGACTTGCTCTGTGTCCATTGGATGAGGCAGAAAGCGGAGGTCTGTGGTCAGTGTCTGTGCAGCAGCTGGTATTATCATTGTACACCCTCCTATAGTAGCTCTCTACTGCTATAAGCAGCAGAGTAAAGACTAGTGGATTATAATGTGTGCTGCATAAGTAATGTAAAGTAGAATTGTCCTTTATTTATATAGTTATTTTCCTGGTAGCCTCACAGAGCTGTCCGGTAAACAATAAGGATGCACCCAAATTAAAATGGTAAAATAAACTGAATTAAAATCTGGATTTTAAAAACGAAGATTTAAGATTTGAAAGTGTGTGCTGGCTTGCAAGATCTGGTATGGGCTGGGAGATCCTTTCACAGCCTTGGAGTAAGAGAGCACAGACACTGGGGATCTCCCGGTCCCCTCAAATTTCTCCTTGCCTCCCCATTTTTGGAGCCTCCTATTGGGACTGATGAAAGGCCAGAGTCTGTAGACTGTAAACAAGGTGTCTGTGGGTGTATAAGAACTCATTGATGTCGTCAGACTGTACAGGCCCTTGAAGGTGAGCAGCACCAATTGTATTCTGAAATCCACAGGAAGCCAGAGTAGGGAGGCTGTGAGAGACAATGTATTCTCATGCATTTTAGTTTGGGTTGAGATCCGAGCAGCAGCAATCAGACACTGTCAACAAGCTGCACGTTGTGAAGAACACTGGAGTGCAGCTCCCTGTTCTGTCTGCCACAGCTCACATTACGTTACTTCTGTGTGCGCAGCACAGATTTGCTAATTGTGCTTTTTGGGGGATAATTTTCTGCAGACTAACAGGATAAACTGCAATTCGTTTTCTCTTTAACTCTAGATCACAATAAGGTCCTTGTGTTCTGCAAAGCAATTATATATCATTACATTAATTATATCATCTTAAACATTTGTCCTCTGAATGCTGAGTGTGGGATTATTTTTATTTAATTTCTCTTGTCGGTGGTTTGACACTGCTGACTTCAGTGCGCCTAGTTGTTTTTCCTTAATTATTCCAGGTTTATCGGACATCTTTTCTATCGATCTGAGCACACTTTCTTCTCCGCTGAGCAGCCCTCATAATGCTTTTGGGCTTCATCCCAGCAGCGTAGAACAGTGCTCTTCACTTTATCCTTGACTGTCTGCTTTGCTGGCATCTCGGTGCAATGTCCCAGAGATAGAATCAGCTGATTCTAAATGCCTTTGACAGTCTCTTCCTTGTCTACAGCAGAGCCCGTGATAAACTGTCCTGCCCTTAAAACCCCAGCCCGAATTTGCGACATTATCTCCTCCCCACACAGGAGTCCGCACTTCGGTTACGATCAGTTAACCTTGTCTCCCACGGTGCAGAGCTCTTCGCAGGAACAAGAGCTGCCGAAGTGGCAGGAGGCCTGTCACAGGCCTGAGAACTTCAGGAAGGTTACAGAGCAGAGGGAAGCCATTCAGCTGGTCGCGCATGCTTGGCTGTGAGTAGCTAATCAATCCCACAATCCCAGACAGCGGTCTGTTCCAGACATCAGTGGCTGTCTGATTTTTGTTCCCAACTATTTTCAGACCTGTGTGCAATTCCCCTTAATTTCCCCTCCTACCCCTGGGGTCCCCGTTTTGCTGGTGATTGCTGAAGTAGTCAATCCCTTCCTTGATCAGGAACACTGGTGCCATCAATCAAACAAATCTCCTATTCTCCGCTGCTCGAGAATGGAGAGGAGAGAGAGATTGCCTTGCACTAGTGCATCTGACCTGCTTGTGTCCCTCTATTCTTGTTGTCCTTGTGGAAGTATTACTTAGCACAATTGAACGGTTTGCTTTTCTCGGTTCAATACTTTGTGGATGTAATTTTACCACCCAGCTGGGTTTTGTGGAGCAGCTAGCAGTTGTTTAGTCTGACTTTGTCAGTCCCCTTCACGATTTTTGAATGCTTGAATTGAAGAAATTCTGCCTGTGCTGTGTTCGCCATGGTGATCAGTCCTGTCTTCCTGTGCGAGTTAATAAGAACCCCATGTGTTGCTCTGATGACTGATAGAAACAATGAACTAGTGTTTGTGTCTCTCCCCAGATACAGTTAAATGTATTTCTTATTGAAATAAAGAAGAAATAAATTCATATTCAACAAGATATCAATGTTCTTATTGAAATAAATGTATTTCTTATTGAAATTTAGTTTGGTCAATTGCAGCATATGCAGAGTATAGCTATTCAGGCTATGGTCTAGACAAACAAAAAAAGTCATATATTTTTTCTCACTCTGGGACATAACCAGCTAGAAATTACTGCATATCATGACAGAATATTCCCTTTTACTCCCTTAAAAATTAGGGAGCCGAAAGTGCAGTAAATCCAACAAGATTAGAAAATAAATGGCAGTATTTGTGGTACCCAGGACTGTAACTCAAAATATTTTTATCCCACTTGTTCAGATACTCCAGCTGTAGTTTAATGCAGGTTTGCCCAATAACGTAGAACGTATTAGGAGATAGATCCTCTTTCTGATGGCAGGTTACAATATAGTACATTAACTCTCAGATTTACCAGTCAATTTCATTCATGGAACAATGTCCAGACTCTTACAC